ATTGCGCCAGCGAAAAAGCTGTGGGGAGTGGAAGAGGGGAAAACAGACAACAAGGGGATTTTCAACATAGGTGAACCCACATGGAGAGAAGCAGCATGGAGCACAGGACACCCAACAGGTGCGTGGACAGACAACACTTTGCTATTAATTTTTTGTCCCTTCTAAAAAAAAAATCAAATTGGTTATATGCGGTATTGATGCATGTCACTTCTGCCGCAATGACCTGACGAGTCCTCCTTCCAACAGACCACGGAGTGGGACAGAGCCACGGGTTGAGTATGGGTGTGGGACAGCGAGGCCCTGGACGTCCACAGTTCCCCGGGGGAGACTCCGTGCTGTCCCCGCGCGCTTCGGACCACGCCGGTGTGGGGCTCAAGATGGTCGAGTACGTGTTAGCGTCCTCACCCACAGGCAAGGACCTAGACGCTCGCATGGCCAACCTGCAACTCAGAGTAAGTATCGGAGACTTTTCCCACGTCTTATGAAGAGGTTTGAATAACATGGCGAGTCTGGTACTCCCATGGAACTCTTCAGCTTTGTTGAACGAATGTATATTAGCGTAATGAATAGACAGTATTCTAATTTTTTGCTTCCTGTATATATGTTAATGTTATTGATATATTTACAGTCGCCTCCCTTCCCCTTCACTTCTACTGTTATAATCCGTGCCCCACTTTCTCTCAAAAAGGAAAAACAAAAAACAAATACTAGACTACCTCCTCTTATACCAAACGCTCGATTTATGCTGATGAATATGGTAGTAATCGATCATCCCTCGATTCATGCAGCCTTGTTTGTTTATTCATGTATCATTTAATTAAGTCAGGAACTTCAAACATTGAATCTTTCTCTTGTCCATATTCGCTCTGCAGGAATTCGGGAAAGGTAAACAGGGAGCGGAGAGCCGCTTACAGAAGTCTTAAAATTACATATCACTGTAACATGACAGACCAATTCCCTAAATGGAGAAGGAAATAGAGAATGTATAGGTCGTTAGTGGATTATCCACAATTTTGTGGAAAAGAAATATAAAGTTGAAAATCGAGAGACTAAGCTGATCGAGTACTGTGCTGTAGCAAATGATTATGCTTGGCATTAAAGTTTCTCTGGGCATCTTACACGAAGAATATTGTATATGCGTGACGCTGTCACCTGCATCCATTTTTCCATAGACTTAAACTATGAAGAATCGTCGATTTGATATTACAGTGGAGGCGACATATTGTATTCATTAGTCCTGAGATATAATCATGTTCCTCTTTAGATCTGAAAGGCTGTTACTAAATTATACTCTGATTCGGTCCGACATTGATGAAAGAGGGACATAAAAAGACCTCATGGATGCCCCTTGAGAAACGGAAAAAAGTGTTTGCTGTCAGATAAGAATCGGGTGTGTCAAGGATGAAGGGTTTTCGACCATAGCTGTAGTTAGGCCGTCCTGAACTCTCATGAGGGGATGGGTTTGTTTAGTCTGGTTCCATCCCGGGACCTCTTATGGACCACAAAACACGTAACGTGATTAAATTTTCTGAATTACTTTGTCTCCGTATGAAATGTCGGATTAGAAGATAGCTAAAATGGCAAGCCTACGTCTGCTAACCCAGATCACACGGATTTGTCACAACGATTCTTGAACACTTTTATCTCCCCCCCCCCCTCCCTTCTTTCTTATATCTGTGTCCCTTGTGAGTTGTAAGATTGTGTTCAGCTACTTATGAAATATTGTTTTCACAGAACGGTGGTGTAGAGACGAGCAAGGACAAGAAAGATAAGGCGCCGTCACCTTTCGACCCCACAAAGAAGGACGTGGAGAACGGCAACGCCCCACAGGCGAACGGCATCGTGCAGAACGGCCTCGATGACGACAAAACTTTTAAGTAAGTCTCTAATGTGAACGGTTGTTGTCGTTGCATGCTTGAAGGACGACTTGCGCGTTGCCTCGACTGTGCTGTTCCCTTCCAAGTCCTGATTTCTAGAATTTTGCAGGACGGTCGTAAATAAACTTGAAAACTACAGCGCGCCAGGTGCGTCCAAGGGCTTCGGCTTCTTTTACGAACTCCAGTTAATTAAAACGCGAGTGCATCGACGCGTCTGACTCGTATGTTTGCCACGCGAATCGTGTTGGGAAAGTTGGGCTTCCTTCTCAGCATCTACCTGGTTTTAGTAAATGTTTCATACCCCAAGGACTTTAACCTGCCCTTCATATCAGAAAGTTGAAACTAAGGATTAATTGGCCTTCTTGTCATGGTCTGTTCTCATTTGCAAAATATTAGAAAAAACTAGCTTTTACTCGCACTCAGCTCATTGATCTATAATAACTTATACACAGAGGAAATAACATAATTAAACACTAGTATCGTTGATAATCGAGTTCGCTTGATGCATATGTAGCAACTATTACAAACGTTTGCGGATGTAATTGTAGTTGCAGATGCTCCTGTAAGCCGAAACATTTGTGTGGTGAACTTTGTTAGTTTAAAGACAGTGGCGAAAAGTAGTT